AGACATGCACTCTGACACCCAAGGTTCACTGCACATGAGAACAGAGCTGAGTAGTATGCGGGGCCATGGCAATGACAACGATAAGAGAACTCCTGAACTGTAGGTCTACCCCCCAAAAGTCCCTGATGGTTGTGAGGGTAGCAGTGACAGTGAAATACTTTTAAAGTAGCTACAAGAATCCGTTTTCCTTTCCCTTCATAGAAAGGCATCTTCAAATATGGCAGAAACCAAAAGGAGTCATTTATTCCCGACATTTATTTCACATACAAGGTTTCAAGAAGACACCTAAGTTAACATTAATACAAAAACAAAGGTGACATCCATCCAAATTTGGTACTGGAATGCATTCAGAGGTAAAGGTTTACAGCTACACAAGTGATTCATATAGTCCTTCCATTTGGAATCTTTCCAGCTTTTAGAGCCGTTCAGTCTCTGGGCACCAGGCCTCACAAAAGCAGCATGTGTTGCTGAAACTACCTGCATTGACGATTGAGGGGCTTTGGGGGCTGCCTGCCGTCAAACATGACTGATTTCCCCCTTCTACATACAAAGTATACCCTTGGGTTGACTTTGCTGTCACAATATCCCTTTTCTAAGTTAAGAAATTAGTTCAGTAGGGCTCAGATGCTGCATGCATGGACGAGCCAGGCCAGGTAGCCTGGTCCTAAAAACTCCTCTTCAATACTGTATTGATACCATAAGCTCATCAATTATTAGAGCTCAAGTAGTCTTGGCAATTAAGCTCAACCTATCTTCAGATGAGACAATAAGGCCCAGAGAAAGGCTATGATTCACCAAACACCACAATCAGTGGTAGTGTCAAGACTACAACTCATCTCTCTTGGTGTCTGGTCTAAAGTTAATTTCACTATTGTAGGCTGCCATCAGCTGTTTAAATGTGTGAAATTTTCCTTTAAACCGCTCCTCGCCCCAAACAACAAGTTTCCTTCCAGAATGCATGAATTGGGTTATAGGTGTCATAAAATCACCAGGAAGAACTGGAGGTACAGTGGGTGTCACAAAGCAAATCTAGGCAGGAAATACAAACCCACCTTCCAAAGTGCTTTACATAAGAAGTTGGATATAAAATGGCTACTTATTTATACCTCTTTTCAAAAATAAGACATTAGACAATTATTAAAGAGATAAAATAGAAATTAAAGTTTCAGGTAGTTGGTTGAAGTCGACTAAGTTAGAACAAACAGAAAAGCAGTAAGATAATGAGAAATCACAGTGTTTACAAGATAAAACTCTTTTTTAAGAAGCAGAGTCTCCCCTGGTACTGAGACTAAAGGGGGGGCACATGAGGTAAGCAAAAACCCCAAAACATCTTCCTTGTGGATATGTGATGTACAAAAGAAACAAAAACAGAAAATACACTCAAACCTGTTGCTGCCAAGTCAGTGCCAATCCATGGCAACCACATGCGTTTCAGAGTATAACTGTGCTCCGTATAATTTCAGTCCTTATGAGTCATAAACAACTCCAGGCCAGTGAGTTTAATCTTACACCCAAATCCACCTTTGGGTGGAGTCAAACTGCCAAATCATCTGTAAGTAGTCGAGTACGAACCGAACCACGTGGGTCACCCAGGGACTTTGTGTGATATAAAAGACATCTTACAATAATACAATGATTCATTTTGACTGCAGGGAAACATGTAGCTTTGGTTTAAGGTTGGTAGAACCTTTTACTTCTAAACAGCGACCAAGTTCTTTAAGTACATGTACAATTAGAAATAGATGGCATGATGGCTACATGCCATCGAGTCCGTTCCAACTCCGAGTGCTTTACGTAGAGCAGAATGCGACACTGCTGGCTCCTGCACCATGCTCACAGTCAGGATTTTGTTCAAGCCCATTCCTGCCGTCATTGTGGCAACCCATCTTATTGTGGGTCTTTCTCTTTTCCACCGACTGTCTACTTTACCAGCCGAGATGCCCTTCTCGGGGAATTTGTTCTTTCTGGCAATCCGCCCAAAGTATGTGAGATGAAGTCTTGTCCTTTTCACTCCTAAGGAGCATTCTGCCTGCGCTTATTTCTTTCTTCTGCCTGCACTTCTTCCAAGACAGATTTGTTCATTTTTCTAGCAGGCCCAGGTATACTACCTTTTCTTTGCAAACACCATAATTCAACATGCATCAACTCTTCAGTCTTCAGCTTAAGTATGCATATCAGGCAATTGAAACTACCATGGCTTAGAGCAGGCGCACCATGGTTCTCAGTGACATCTTTACTCTTGAACACTTACAGAGATCTTTTGCAGCCGATTTGGCAAGTGAAATATATCATTTGATTTCTTGCCTGATGCTTCTATGGGTGTTGTTGTTGGCGGGTCCAAGTAAAATACAATCTTGACTTCAATAAATGCCAAGAAAGACTGGAAGACAGGAATACAGATCTGGAACCTAAATTCCACCACAGTGTGATCCTAGCAATACGAGAGTTTAAATGCTTGTTTCATGGGAGATGGAACAGCTTTACAACCTTTCCTGTCATTGGTTAAGATTGAGAGACAAGTACAGAATACAATTATAAGCAATTTAAAGAAACTTGTTTTGCAAGTGGAAGTGGTTTTCTCATGACTGACTGACATTCTGTAATTGTGATTAACAAGGAGCTAAGTCCCTTGACTACAGGGCAATAGTGTCCTTTTTCATTTCTGTATCACCGATTATCTTAACCCTAGAAGGGTCACTGTGAGTTGGAATCAACTCAGCAGTAAGTTTGGGTTAGAACATGGCCTTACACATGGAAGTGCTTAAGAAATATTCCCAGAGAAGGGAGGGGATCGGTGGACAGACACAGTAACACTGGGCTGTCGCTGTGCGAAGGGGCCGGGCCGGACAGTGCTCTGTTCCATTGTAGGCAGGTTCCCTGTGAGTCAGAACCAACTCAACAGCACCTACCACGAATGCATCATCTACTTTCCTGAACCATGCATCCATACAGTGATCAATCCTGTGTCCATATTAAAAAGTGATGATTTCTATAATGTCCATCTTCTCTAGAGGTGGAATTCCAAAACACGTACACAATACAAGCACTTGACTACAGGCACCACACACATTCTTACTGTGCCAGGTACACTACTAACATGAAACTGTATTATCAGAAGTCTGTAATTCAGACACAGAGGAAATCAACCTATTCAGATATGAACAGTCAACATTTTCAACAAATATAAATCCAAAACATCTATCAATACTTACCTGAGATACCTGCATTCTAGCAGGCCCCATCCTATCCTGGCACCATAAGTGTAATTTCTTTCCACAGCGCCCACCCTCCTTGGTACTAAGCTGGATAGGTTTAAAAAGATTCACACATACTAAGAAAAAAAATATTTCCAGATGTCTTCAAATAAGATAGTCTTTAACCAAAGACCAATAGAACAATTAACAGAGCCCTGACTCTGGTTATTTTTCTACTAAACTTGTGATTTTTCTCGCTCCAAAGCAAAACCACTTAGGTTACTTAGCTAGTCAAGGCATAAATACTCTTGATCTCATCTTGCAGCAACCAGGCTTAGATGACTAAATTCCTGGATTTCACCTGTAACTTACATAAAAGAATGAACTATACGGACCCGTCCTTCAAAGTTTACTAGGCTAGTACCAGAGGGTTATCAGAGATTTTCAAAGAGGTAAATGGGAAAAACAAAGACACTGCTCTGAACCGGAAGTTTCTGGGGATGCTTCCCCTTTCAATATGCTAGAGTTACATGAATTACTCAGTGCTCTCCAGTTAGGTTTCTGAGCCTCGGAAAAGGACCCAGGAAGCTCAGAAACGGAGGCTGGTATATTCATAGCTTGCCCCGGAGGTGTGGGTCTAGATTGATGCACCTATCTGGCCGGTAAGCCTATGGAGTGCAATTTGTTTTATCATTATATATTTCATACCTCATTTCCACCTTTCCTCTCTACTTTCAGAAATATTACTATATACTACTACACCGTGGTATTAGGTAGAAGGCATAAAACACACCCATTTACTCATGTTCTAGAAAAGAATCAGAGATGATATAAAGTAGAACTAGAACATGACGCAATTCTATTTCTCTTGATGAGACACACCACGAGCATGCATCTTATTCAATCTGAGATGGGCATGGTAATTCATAAGAACCAGATAAAAGTGCCCCAAACAGTTTAGGGCCTATGAGAAAAAGTAAAAGGAATGGGAATTTTTTTTTATAAGAAGGGAGAAGCAACAGCCAAGGGGATTTAAATCTTCAGGTACTGGAAAGCTTAGTATATAAAGGGTGATGGGTGTCAGTTGCTTCCCATTTCTATGGAGAGAAAGGCTTTAGTATTCAATACAATATAGAGATTCTTCCTTAATTATGTGGATCAACTTCCCGAAGTCAAGAAGTTACACTGCAGTGAACTTCTGAAGGTAGCCATAAAATTGTCAGTGTCCTTTGGGGTACCTTCAAAACCAAGATGAATCCAATACAGTTCTGATCAGATTCATGAAAGTTCTACCCAAACATGAAACTCTGATCACGTTGCACCAGGACCTCATGCAGCAGATCAACTACTAAAAAATACTTTCCCCGTTCTCCATCTCCTTGGAATAACTCTCACAATCAAGAAGACTGAGTTGCTGGGATTAGGACTTCTGAAGCAGTTGCCTCAATATATGGATGAGAATTTCACTCTGAACTCACTGCAAGTCGTTTCCACTTTTTCAGAGAAAAGTGGAGACATACAGTAGGAGGGTGAACAGACTGACATTAGAGGCAGACTTGAGAACTGGGTCCAAATCTCTAACTTATGGATATTCTCAAGCTTATCCTGGGAATTATACCTTAGAGCTGTGGTTTTCAACCTTCCTAATGCCGAGACACTTTAATACAGTTCCTCGGGTTGTGGTGACCCCTGATAAAATTATTTTTGTTGCTACTTCATATCTGTCATTTTGCTACTGTGATGAATAGCATGACCCCTGTGAAAGGGTCGTTTGACCCCCAGAGAGGTCGCGACCCACTGGTTGAGAACCGCTGCCTTAGAGCTTGGGAAAGATTGCTTCTAATAGTGATATTAGGTGATTGCTTCTAATAGTGATATTAGGTTAAAATGGCTAAAGGGACCTTTAAGAAGAGGTTTTTAATCAAAATGTTTTCCTAAACCCTTCCATCTTTTCCTTATGTGGGTTCTCCAGGGAATACGTAGACGATGGGTACAGGAGTTTTTCATGCCTATGAACGTCCCGGTGTTTGATAAAAAACGAACTCTTGTTGAAGCGTTTACCACACTGGGCACAGACATAGGGTTTCTCTCCAGTATGTGTCCGCTGATGTTCTCGAAATTTTGTACCAGTACTGAATGCTTTTCCACAGTCTGCACACCTGTAGGCATTCTCACTGAGGTGTACTCTGCGGTGGGTGCTGAAGTGAGAACTGTTGTTGAAGCTTTTCCCACACTCTTCACACTGGTAAGGATTCTCCTCTGTGTGGATTCGCTGATGTATAATGAGACTTGAGCTTTGGCCGAAGCATTTTCCACACACTCTACATCTGTAGGGTTTCTCTCTGGTGTGAATTCTCTGATGGGCACCGAAGTTTGATGAGTCATTAAAGCTTTTCCCACAGTCAAGACATTTAAAAGGTTTTTCTCCCGTGTGTATTCTTTGGTGCTTAATTAGGCTCCGGCTTCTACCAAAGCACTTTCCACAGATGCTACATTTACAAGGGTTTTCCTTTTGGTGGGTCGTCCGGCACATCAAGCGAGCACTCCTTCCAAAGTTTTCGCCATACTTGAGAAATCTATAGGGTCTCTTTCCCATGAAAGGCCTTTGATGCACTACAGCTTTCCCTAAATCTCTAGGCTGAGATCCCAGCGTTCCCTGTTTAAATTCTTGAAGGCTTTCCAATTGTTTTCCTGAGATGCATTCCCTTTTGTGATAGTTACGAGGCTCCGTCGTCTGGGAAATAGTCTTTTGGGATTTTTCGACTATGGTTTTATGCTGTTCAATGTCCTTAAATAGTACCTGTGCTGGCTCTTCTTTGAAGCTACTTCCAATTTCAAAATCTGAAAAGGAATAAAAGAAAATAACATTTTCATACAACTGTATTAACCTACAGCAATGAACATGGCATACAAGGCTCCATAGGTCTGTGGCTGGCACAATTGGCTTGCGGTCCACTAACTTCAACCAACACTCATCTGTCAGTCTGTTGTACTGCGGTGGTCTGAATGTTGCTGTGATGCTGGAAATCATGCCATCAGTAGTTTAAATACCAAGAGGATCACCCATGGTGGGCAGGTGTCAGTGAAGCTTCAAGACTAAAACTGAGTACCAAGAAGGGATAAGCAGTTCACTTCTGAGGGAATGGCCATTGAATAGCAGTGGAACACTGTCTGATACAATGCCACAAGGTGAGCCACAAAGGTTGGAAGGTACTCAAAATATGACCGGGGGACCAACAATCCCTTCGAAGAGTGTTGACCTAAAAATATGGAGTAAAGCTTCTGAGACCTCCATTTACTGATGAGACTTGACTCAAAATGAGAATAAACAGCTGTAAATATCCATTAATAATCAATGTTCACTGTATGAACCTAGAAAAATGGGAAATCTTCAAAATGCAATGCATAAAGATAGATAACCTAGGCATTGGTTTAGTGAACTGTAATAGACTGATATTGGTCAGTTAGACAATCTTGATGGATTACTGTGCTGGGAATGATAGATGGAGAAAGAAAAGGGTTATTAAAAAGACCAGAAATGAGGAAAAGATCAAAGTGGATGTCAGAAAAGACTGAAACTTACACAAAGTGGCTGAAGTCAGTGGGAGATATGATGGAGTGAAAGCTGAACAGAACATGTTAAGCAGCAGCTAGAGAAGACAAAATGGGTATATAACAAGACCTCGAGTTAGAAAGTCAAAAGGAAGTACATGCTTAGCATATCTCAAGCTGAAAGAAATGAATAAAACATTAAGCCTTGAGTTGCAATGTTGAAGGATTCCATAGGCAAAATACTGCATAGTGCAGAAAGAATCAAGAGAAGATGGAAGGAATACACAAGTACCAAAAAGGTTTGGTTGACATTAAACCATTTCAAGAGGTAACATATGATCATGACCAATGGTTTTCAAGGGAAAAGCTCACATTATACTGAAGACATTAGTAAAAAACATGTGCCCAGGAATTGATAGAATGCCAATTGAACTGCTTCAACAAACTGATGCAGAATTAGAAGCAAAGACGACCAGTTTACATCAAAAAATTTGGAAGACAGCTACTTGGGTAACTGATTTGGAGAGATCATATTTGTGGCCATTTCAAAGAAAGGTGACCTAATATAAAGTAGATATTATCAAATAAGATCATTAATCTCACATGCAAATAAAAGTATGCCAAAGATAGTTCAAAAAACAGTTGCAGCAGTCTATCAACAGGGAGCTGCCAGTATTTAAAGGCAGATTCAGAAGAGGTACAAAGAGGAATATCATTGGTGCTGTCAGATGAATCTTGGTTAAAAGCTGAGAATACCAGAGATGTTTGTTGTATTATGTGCGAAGTCATTTAACTGTGTAGATCACAACAAGAATCGAAATTTTATAACATTCAATGGTGCTCATACTAAAGTTGTACACAGACAAGATGCGGCTGTATGTAGAGAATAATACCGCACGGTTTAAAATCAAGAAAAATGCACACCAGTGTTGCAACCTTACACCATGCATATTTAATCTATGCAGAGCTACCCGGAGAAGCAAGCAACATATGGTTTGGAGGGTTTACCACCTGAGATCTGTACATGACATAATCCTGCTTGCTGAAAGTGAGGAGGACTTGCAATACTTGCTGTTGAAAATTCATGACTAGAGCCTTTAGTATGAATTACAACTCAATTAAAGAAAGCTCAAATTCTCACAACGGAGTCAGTAGGTGACATCATAACAAATGGAGAAAAGATTAAAGTCATAGAGGATTTCATTTCGCTTGGATGCACAACGAACATTCATGGAATCATTAAGGAAATTAAACCCCCATTACACAGGAATGGATAAACAAACTCTGGTCATTTATGTTATGGAATGTTATGCATCAAGAAAAAGCAATGATAACTCTCTTAAAACACAAGAAGACATGGACAAAACTAGAGAACATTATGCTTAATAAGATTGGTCTATCTTACAAAGATATTTAATAAGACCATTATTATATGGAAAAACAAAGAAAAAGAAAAGTGGTTTATATACCAAAAGACAAGGCTTTGACGAAGACAGAGGCCAGGAACAGAGAGAGGGGAGGACTAGGATAATGAGGAAGGATGGGGGGGTGTGTGGGGGAGGGTGGGTGCAGAGGAAAAAAAAAACATTGATGAAGGGCTTAAAAGATATTGTTATTGACTTCACTTGAGATGGGCTGTGTAGCTATATATGTGACTTTAGAAACTTAAAAAAAGTCCAGATTCCCAGATTCCTCATCCCTTATACCTAAAGATTGATCTGAGTAGTTTAAAAAAAAAGGATGAAAAGTGAACCAGAAATGGACTTGTAGTCTTTAGTGACAAACAAGTTCATTTCAAAAAAAATAAATTGAACTTTTTATTGCAATGGGGAAATATGCTGCACAGGACCTCGTTAATGCCATAGGATGCCACTTTGAGGATCAGGGTTCATCTGGCCCAAGCCCGTGTTCCCAGTAGCCTCATATGCATATGAAAGTTGGACAGTGAATAAGGAAGATCAAATAAAAATTGAACCATTTGAATCATGGTGTTAGCAAAGACTATCGAAAGTACTGTGGCTAGCCAGAACAAATAAATCGGTCTTGGAAGAAGTACAGTCGGAATGCTCCTTAGAAGCAAGGGTGGCAACACTTCATCTTACATACTTTGAATGCATTATCGGGAGAGACTAATCCCTGGAAAGGAACATCATGCTTGGTAAAGTACAAGGTCAGCAGACAACAGGAAGACCCTGTTGTGGCCTCCAATATCACAACTGTGGAAATGATGCCGGACGGGGCAAGGTTTTGTTCTGTTGCACATCTGGGCACAATGAGTAGGAACCAACATGATGCCACCTGACTAGAGGTAAGCACATGTCTGGTCCCTATCGATTTCACTAGTTTCAGATCTTGTGATTCTTCCCTACTTCTTTATGCTGCGTTTTCTTTCTTAGACCTACCTCTTTTCAATAATATGAATACAGAAAAGGTTCTCAGCAATGTTTATTGAAATAAATTAGAATCTATTATCTATGCTCCCTAAAACTGGAATTTTCCTCATTCTTTCAACTAAAGCCCAAGGGCATTAGATCTTGGATTTCTGATTTTCTCTGACATTTTCAAGTCAGAACACATTAAAAATGAAGAGAAAAAGGCTCTGGTTCTGATGACATCTTGGCCACATATTAGCTGTGTGATTTTTAAATTACTTTTTATCATGGAAAACCCAAGCATAGAAGGGTAGAGAGAAGAGGATGTGCATTGAACCTCCATGGTAAATCCTGTTTCTTCTTTATTCTTATACACATCCTGTTATCTCGACCCAAGTTATTTTGCAGCAAATTTCAGGTAATGTATTTTTTCATCCTTAAGTAATACACAACCCATGTGAGTTTGACCCAATCTAAATCTGCTTGATTTCCAAACTCTCTGCTCTAAGGAGTTTTTGTATATGAGAGGCTTCAAAAAGTTTGTGGATTCATTTTATTCCACAAGCTTTTCTCCCTCATATCAGTTGCCAGCAACAGTTCCCTTCAGTATTTTCAGTTGAAGCTGCTGCTATCCCTCAGTCCCACATGTAGCAATAATAACGTGGGCTCGAAGAAGGGCAGCTATCCAACAATCCATGAAGCCAAAAGCTCTAATAATGATGCAATTTCATTTTCAGTTCTTTGGAAGCAATCTGATTAGGTACAACACTGTTATGGGAGTTGAAGGAAATTACCACCAAGATGATTTGGCTAATTTGATGACATGCCTCGGGCTCACCTCAAAAAAAAGAAGATTCACAAGAGATAGTACCAGAGGATTTTGTTTCCTCAGGGGCCCTGTGTGTATCTATTGGCAGATGTGTGAATATGGGGAAAGTATGAGAGACTATTTAGAACTGTCTAATCAGGTTAAGTAAGATGTAATAACTTTAGCCTTCATAATTCAACTTTCCCCATAAATATCACCAGAGAACATACATATAGGTTTTCTTCTGGAATGTAACTGGACAAAACTTTTCTTGCTGGGGCCATTGTCATACTAGACCCACTTGCTCCAAGAAACAAGTTCTAAAGCAATGGGCCAGATCTACTAATTTTTCAGTAAATCGCACTTGTTACTGTTTCTGACTAAGACTCTTTGATGATCCTTACCACTTGGGTTTGGCAGTGTAGTAGGAGAGGCCTGGAATTCTGCTTCTTGGATAATTTCCTCCTCACTCATTTTCTCACTGTCTGAGTCTTCTATGGCGTCCTGTGAAATTTCCTCAGGCTCCCAGTCTGTGGGTTCCTGGAGTTCAATCTCAATGCCCACTCTTTCTTGCCTTGAGAGTGTCGGCATTTCTGGGTTGCTAGTGGAAGAAGGCGTAGATGTCTGAGAGTTAATCAGGGCATCCATCTCCTTGTAGAATGCACACGACTCTAGGACATGGCCATTTCTCACTTTGCGGTAGCTCTTCTGGAGGCTTTTGAACTTAGTCCGGCACTGTTCTGGTGTACGGAGGAAGCCGCACTCCCGTAGCTGTTCAGCTACAGCCCCATACAATTTGCTCTTGCGATGACAGGCTTGAAGTGCTTCATAAAACCGAGTCTCACGGAGAATATCAAGAAAAGTCTTGGTTTCCTCATAGCCCCAGTGCACACCTACGATTCAAGGATAAAGTGAAAAGATATTAGAAAAGAAATATAGCTGCAATACTATATCTATTACAAAGTGTAAGGAGAAGAAAGCTATTTTTAAGAAGCATTTTTTAGGAATGCCTGATCAACTCTTTTAAGCTTATAATTAATGATATATTTAGATTTACAGCTACCATATTTGCTTTCCATTTGATGAATCTATTTTATGTTCCTTTTCTTCTCTTTTGTGGTATTCTTTTAATAAAAAAATCCTTATTTCAGTTTTCACTTTTTAAACTTGTTACACAGTCTTTCATGGATTTAAAAAATACCACCAACCAAAAACTCAAAACTTTCCCCTTTACCATCAAGTTGATTTCAACTTGTAGCGAAATCCTACAGGCTGAAAGAGAACTACCCTATAGTGTTTCCTAAGCTGTACTCTTTTTTTTATTTTTGTGTGAGAGTGAGTCAGTGAGTGAGTGAGACAGTGAGTGATAGTAAGTCAGTGAGTGAGTGAGTGAGACAGTGAGAGAGTGAGACAGTGAGAGTGAGGCAGTCTCCTAAGCTGTACTCTTTATAGCAGCACTGTCATAGTTTCTCCCATGCAGCACTTGGTTGGTTTGAACTGCTGACCTCTGGTTAGCAACCAAGTGCTTAACCATGCTCTCCATGAGTCTTTTACTTATTATCCTGGAGAATTTAGTAATGCACCCTTGACTTACTATAACCTAGAACAACTAATTGCTCTATACCATTTCCCAGATAATGCCAGACCCTCAGAACCCTTAAAGTACATTTCTTTTCCTTCCTTAAGGTGCAGGGCCTAAGTACTCAAAAATCCATGCTGAGTTCTGAAGTGAAACAAAAAACCATCACCAACAAACCCCACAACAGTTACTCAGCCTGTTATTCATACTGTATGGGGTAAGGGTGGGGCCAATGGCACATAGTCCAGAGAACTGTAAATTATGTGACCATATCATCATGATAAGGGACAAAGATGACATGGTGGCACTCCCCAGGTCTGCTCACTTCTTGTCTACCCCTTTTTCTCCATAAAGAGAAGAACTTCATACCAGAAAAGCACAAAGCACAACAATAACACATACACACACTCTTACCACTTAGGTTCTGAAACAAAACAGGAGCACTACGCATCTCGGATTTCTGGATTACTTCATTGTCTATTTCATCACCATCAGATTCTTCTGCGCCGTCGTCGTCTTCCACCAAACCCACCTGTTCTTTACTATGAGTAACAATTCTCTTTAGTCTTGGGAGCGAGATGATCTCCTTTGGTTTATCAGTGGACGAAGCATAGGCCGTGGGATTCAACAAAGCATCCATGTCTTCAAAGAAGGCACAGGGTTCAAGTGCATGGCCATTTCTCACTTTGCGGTAGCTCTTCTGGAGACTTTTGAACTTGGTCCTGCACTGTTCTGGTGTACGGAGGAAGCCACACTCCCGCAACCATTCAGCCACAGCACCATATACCTGGCTGTTTCGGGGACATGCCTGAAGTGTTTCATAAAAGCGGGACTCTCTGAGAATTGCAAGAAATGTCTTAGTTTCCTCATAGCTCCAATGTACACCTGCTATTTTCTCATCTTCTAAACCCCACTGTTGCGGCTCTTGCCAGGTGTTCCCCGCATTTCTTGTCGGGATCTGCACAGCGTGGACTGGCTTTTCCTTGATGTAATTGCTTCGCAGGATATTCCTCTTATCAGAGGAATGAAGGCCTACAGTCCACAGCTCCTTTCTTTGCTCCAACTGGGCTGTCTTGCTAGATGTCGAACTTCCTGCAATAAGAGAAGCATATTTTGTGCTAGACAGAGGGTATCATTACTGCATGCTACAATCTTCCACCGAACCTGAATGATTGCTTATACCCTTTAAAAGATTGTGTCAAATTCACTACTCTCCAAAAGCATTCCTCAGCATGACACTGCACACTGTATCACTTCCATGATGACTTCTTTCCCCAGTCATCTGATACATACATTTTAGTTTTCATGTATGGACTACTTATTTTTCCAGCTAGTCTAGGAAACTTCTGAGGTTTAGAACCAGATTTTATTACCTCTGATTTTGACTTAGTACTGAACACAGTATTAGGCTTGCAGTATGCTCCTAATTAGTATTTGTTATATATAAAGTACGCTTGTATCTGTTCCCTATACCTCCCACCTCCTTCCCACAAATACACACATACCACCCCCCCATCCCCCCCACTAGTGATTAAGAGATGAGCAATCAAGAGTTCTTGGAGATATTCTGGCGAGATTAATAGAAGAGAGCCTTAAGAATGGAGAACAAATTCAGAGTTCACCTGTAATACTGTCTTAAATTTGAAACCCAGCTCCATTACTTATTTTACTTTTGACCCATGCAAGTTTCTTAACCTGTCTGAACCTCAGTTTTCTGGGGAATACCATCTACTCAAAAGAGGTGCTGTGGGGATTAAATAAATGATCATCTGTAAAATGCCCAACGCCTGAGAAGTAGATAATGAGTTTTCTTCCTCAGACAACATGCAGAAGTGCCACAGAACTCTCCTAGAGAAGAAGCATGAAATAAAACCCTTTTCTGAATGAACGCCAGGGATGGAGATTTGTTCTTGACTTCTGTGTGGGGACAATGGGCAGGCAAGTTCAAGTATCTCTAAGCAATGTAGATAGTGTGGCTGCTAGAACAGGAGCCCTGGCACTTCAGCATGTGCCCTTTCAGCTGTGCCCAACTCATGTGAGGTGAGAATGTGCCCTATGGGACCTGACGTTAGATGTTTCCAAATATAATAAAAATATAGATGTATAAAGTTAAATTACAACACTGTACAGCTTAAATTAGGTGTGTAAACCAGATGCTTCTCATTTGCCATTACAGGGGTCTCTGATCCTTGGTCTTCCCATATGTGAAATAAAAAGATTCAGCTAAATGTGAATTTTCCAATATGGTTCTAAGCCCACTAATGGCAGAGTTTCCTATGGAAACTGATCAGTATTTTACTAGGCTGGATGCTATAAAATCAAGAAGTCTGATGTGTACACACATAGCCAGTTGGTTGGATATGTGCTGGTTGAGGAAAGAGTAGTATTACTGGTGTGTTATCAATGCCATCTTATGTTGATCATTTGAAAAAAGTGCTTTAATTCTTTTCAAATTATAATTAATTGTTGGATAGTCTTTAATCCATTTGGTTTAAGGTGAACCATTTATTTTATTTTTTATCTTTTTTTAAAAAAATTAAATTTATGGGGTGTGTTCACAGCTCTTACCACAATCTATACACACATCTATTGTGTCAAGCACATTTGTACATATGTTGCCATCATCATTTTCAAAATATTTTCTACTTGAGCCCTTGGTATCAGCTCATTT